TTGTTAGAAGGACAATGACTGTTACTATCATACAGAGAGAATAAAGTAAATATTAATTACCTCAATGTTACTGTTATAAAACAATTATCTAGACAGCAACAATAAGTGCAGATCCTATGGAACCTTGTGTTTATTTAGCTGATAACATTCACAAAAAGAGCTAGCTTATCAGTTTCCATAATCCTATCTCTGATTCATAGAAACAACTGGTATATTGGCATAGAAGCAGCAGTATTACTTTTGAAGAGAAGCATGCAAATGTATACTTTTTATTCTGTTGTGATCTTTAAGAATGACCTCTGATTCTTCTTATTCCCATTAGTTGTCTCTCCACATTGTGATGACTAGGACCAACTGCCCTTCTTACCACCATCAGAGGAGGAGCCAGAGACAGAGACAGAGCCTCTGAAGACAAGCCTAGGACCAACTGCCCTTCTTACCACCATCAGAGGAGGAGCCAGAGGCAGAGCTTCTGAAGACAAGCCTAGGATCAACTGCCCTTCTTACCACCGTCAAGGGAGGAGCCAGAGCCAGAGCCAGAGCCTCTGAAGACAAGCCTAGGACCAACTGCCCTTCTCACCACCATCAGAGGAGGAGCCAGAGACCGAGCCTCTGAAGACAAGCCTAGGACCAACTGCTGTGGGGGAGAGGCTTGCGTACCCTAATGTAGTTTTGAGCTATGCTGGCGGTGGTATAATAGCCACCGGTAGGACTTCCCATGCCAGACAGGTCAAAACCGAATGGGTCTGACAAAGAACGTCAAAAAGCAGGATGGGCTCCCTAGCCTTATGGCAACCATTATAGGAGAAGGAAAACTCTAATTCCAAACCCGGGCAGATGGTGCTCGTCCAACCCTGTAAGGTCAACCATCTAAGAGAAGGAAACTCTAAACAAACCTACAACCTGAGGATCTCGTTGCTACCGTCCATGCTTGCAAGGCCATAGCAGGCGAACCTTTGGTTTAAAGGGTGAGGCCAGTTCTGTGCACGCTGCGCTCCACCAGAAAAATCCATTGCACAGGCTCGAAGGACAAATCCAATCTTCAAAAAGCATGGGATGAGTCCTTCCTGAATCTTCATTTGCGAAGAAAAGCCAGAGAGACATTGTGATGATAAATCAAATAGTGCAGCGTCATCATCAAAACCAATACATTAAAATCAATAAAGCCTGATTCATTTCTCCTTACAGGCATGAATTTAGTAAATGTAGATATTAAAAGTATGTACTCTATGATAACCATTTTCCTTCCCATAATATGTAATCACAGATACATACTCCAGTGATCATATTTGCATATTAAGTCCATGTTTGTCTTCAGTGACCAAACACAGAAGAAAGCACATGAAATGAAAGATATGTAGTTGAGGAGAATCACATGCTATGACAACAGATGTTTTTCACCACTTGAAGGAGGGCCTCTGCAAAACAAAAACAAAAGGAAATAAACATAGAGAGATAAATATTTATTATGGTCAAAGACCACCTTAAGAACAACAATATACAGTATGCAAAATACAACATAGAATAAAAAAATTCATAAAAGAAGTAAAAGACATATAAATATACCTAAAATACAAATACAGATAATCTGTCAGGGGACAGAGTACAGCTAATTCTGACAAAGCCAAAATAGAAGTGTAATTATTAATCAATAGTGCAAGTCGCCACTCATCAGATTTTAAGTGCAGCTGCAAAAAATTTAGCTACTTTATGTGTTATAGTAGGAATAATGTCTGAAAGCAGCGAAGAAACAAAATACTGTTCCGAACATCCTGGATGTTTGTGGAGTATTGACATTCCCTGTAAAAAATTTAAATAGCTAATTAGCTCATCTGAGCATTTATGGCAACATAGTCCCCATGAGCTTTCCTACTTTCAGAAGAATGGAAAACTACACCCATGTATTTGAAGCAAGTAAACTGTTTAACCTTGTGGCCATCAATATTCCAAGAGTTTCTTGTGGGATATTTGGTAAATGTCATAATTTTAGCCTTTCAATAACTGAGCACTAAATAGTATTCTTTGCAATATTGAGACAGTGGGTGTTATTGAAAAGATAGCTGCATTGTCTGCATAGAGCAGTACTGTGATATTTCTTCCAGCTCATTTTGGAGTATGAAAATTAGTGTTATCCAAATGGCTCACCATAGAATTAATATAAAAAGTAACAGAAGTGGTGCCAATTTTGTTGTTGTTGTTAACTGTCTTTGCATCAATCTCGACCCATGGTGATCCTGCTGATGAGACATCTCCAATATCCCCTGTCCTCTCTACTGCTCTGCCCAGCTCCTGTACATTCATACTCATGTTCTTTTTAATAGAGTCCATTCATCTAGCATGTGGCCTCCTTCTCTTTCTACTTCCCCCATTCTTTCCTAGCATTATTGTTTTTTCCAGTGATTCATGTCTTCTCACGATGTGTTCAAAGTATGCCAACCTAAGTTTTGTCATCTTAGCTTCCAGGGAGATTCCTGGCTTGATCTGCTCTAGGACCTGTTTATTTGTCTTCTTCACTGTCCACAGAATCCTCAGCACCACATCTCAAATGAATTGATTTTATTCCTATTTTATTTTATTCCTATCTTGTTTCTTACCTGTCCAGCTCTTAAATCCATACATAGGATGTAATATAGGGATGTAATACAGGGAATAAAACAGGTTGGATGATTCTACCTTTTATGCTGAGTTATATATCTTTCCATTTTAGGATCTTTTCTAGTTCTTTAATAGCTGCCCTCTCCATTCTTAATTTTCTGGTCTCCTGGCTACAGTCTCTGTTCCTATCAATGTTTGATCCGAGGTATGAGAACAATTTTACTATTTCTATTTCCTCATTGTCTAGTTTGAATGTATGTAAATTCTCTGTGGTCATTACTTTTGTTTTCTTTATGTTCAACAGTAAGCCTGCCTTTGCACTTTTTTCTTTGATCTTCCTTAGTAGTTGATCCAGGTTTGTGAGGTTCTCTGCTAGTATTGTGGTGTCATCAGCATACCTCAAATTGTTGAAATTTCGTCCTCCTATTTTCACTCCTTCTTCTGTATCCAAACCTGCTTTTCTTACAATATGTTCTTCATACAAGTTGAACAGGTAGGGTGAAAGGATGAAGCCTTATCTAACCCCTTTTCCAATTGGGAACCATTCTGTTGTACCCTGTTCTGTTCTGACAGTAGCTGCTTTGAAGTCTACAAAAGTGCTGCTTTGAAGTCTACAAAAGTGACATACAAAGAGAGGTTGCATTGTAAGAGGAATAATTTTCAATCAAATGCTGTACTACTAAACATTGGTCAATAATAGACCACTTTTCCTCAAATCTAGCCTGCTACTTTACAAGAATGTTTTCGTGTTCCAGCCAATCCAACTGTTTTCCTTGTTAATGTCTTGCATAGAGCTTACTGATTACATTAACAAGGCTAATTGGTCTATAATTAGCTGGACCATTTTTCTTCCTTTTTTCTCCCTATGCAATCAGAGGGATCATCCCTAGATCTCATATTTTGCCTCTGAAGCATGAAGGCCTGAGATAATCCTGTCTTGGTGACTCTTCTTACTCGGTGACATTAGATGTTCTCCTCTTTCAAGAGTACTTTCCCAGAGATTTGTTTTCCCACCTGAAGATCTAGAAAAACACAGAAATTTCCTGATATTTGAGTCAGCATCCTCAGACCCGAAAACTCTGATTAGCCCCCAAAACAAAAAGCAGTTTCATTTAGCAGCTTCATTTATATGCTGCTTCATACTGTGCTATGCAGTCTCTAAGTGGTTTACAACTGTAAGCTAATTGCCCCAACAAGCTTGGCACTCATTTAGCAACCTTGGAAGGATGCAAGCCTGAGTCGAGCCTGAGCCCTGGCTGATATTGAACTCACAACCTTGTGGATTGTGAGTGAGTGGCTGCAGTACAGGTATTTAATCAATGCACTACCAGGGCTCCTAAAAATGGTACTGGCATTATACAATTAGATTTCTTATCGCTTTCTCTTATCTCTTATCTCTTACAAATAAAGAATTATGTCATCATTAACCTTTCTAGACCAAACTGTGGTTGAAATCCTGTTGATTAGCTTTAACTAGAGTTAGACCTATTGAACCATGGCTTTCTGTGTGGTTGGTTGGGGAGCAATTACCTGAAAATCATGCATTTTTTTTTAAAAATGTATTTTTAATTGAGAGGCTAAAGTTTTAATTTGCAGACTGGTTGAGATACAAACATAGGGTTCAAGGACCACATCCAGTCTTCAGACAGCTCTCTACCCACCCTGGCATAGCATGCAAGAGCCATTTTTCATACAGTGTTGCTATGACAGGGCACATAATACCACCTAATCGTCCTGAGCAAGGAATAGCAGTTGTACAATAAAAGGAGTCTTCTGCCTTTAATATTGAAGTCATCCTTATAGAACATGAGGGAGGCTACATTTACCCCACTTCAGCTGACAAAATATATTTTGCATTTAATTTGAAACTCCACTCTAGTAATACAAAAGGCCCTTAATATTACATTAGTGGGAGAGCAGTGAGCATCCAGTTCAATAAAATGGATTTTTGTCTGCTTTATAAATAAGAGAAAGTAGATAATGTGCCATTTACAACTTTTGTTATATGAATAGAAAATCTACTCTGGCAAGTATCTGGAATGAAATGGAAGACATCTAGGACTTTCCATTACTCTAAAAGATCTATTTGTACATTTCAACTACTAGTTTCTCATTTGATACTTAAATATTCTGAAAATCCTTTTTGTAAATTTATACAAAGATGCTTAGAAAGGAAAGATTGCAAAGAGATGGGATATACACCCATAATCCCTTAATTGAACTAAATTGACACTTGAGTTGCCATCCTCCCAGTTTGTGGATGGATATGCTGGGTTTTTTGTTTTTTAATAAATCTCTGTTTAATAAAAGCATACATATAAATCACTTTTCTTTTTTCATGGACCCTCAACATTATGTATAAATAAAAACTAGCCCATAGCAAAGTAATAGCAAACACAAACAAGAGCTAGTGTGGCATAGTGGTTTGAGTGTTAGACTACAACTACATCTCTGGAGACCAAGGTTCGATTCCCATCTTGGCCATGTAACTCAAACATTGTTTTAGTGCTATGCATAATAAACTGTTATGGTTGCCTCCAGGGGTTTGTAGTTTAATGAGTCCTAAGAGGTCTCTGGCTGTAAATGCCTCTCCCTAAACTGCAAATCCCAGGATTCCTCAGAAGGCAGCCAAGGCAGTTGAAGTGGAATGATAGTGCTATAACAGTGTAGTGTGATATTGTCCTAAGTCTACAAAAGCTGACACTACCAACTTCTTTCTTTCTCTCATGTGCAATTAGCAAAATTCATTTTCTCCTGTGCAGATTTATATTTGCTACCACATATTCACAAGGCAATACTGAATGGTATAGCGGTGACCTACAGTGCAGGAACTATCAATTGCCCTAAATTCTTTAACATGAAGGTTATAGAAAAGTGGTGGATTATTCCTCCATGGTACATAAGTTCCTTTTTCTAAATTTATTTATTTATTTGGAGTATTTATATCCCACTCTTCAGCCACAAAGGTTCTCAGAGCGGCTTACAAATAGTTAGTTAGATGCTCCCTGCCCTCAGGCTTACAATCTAAAAAGACATGACATAAAAGGGAAAGGGAATGCCAGTGGGGAAAGGGATCAGTTCCAGTGGTTCTTCTCTCCCTCTGAGGCCCAGACCATGGCATATGGACTGAAGGGAGGGATCTCTTTCTTAATCTAGGCTAGGCCTAATGGGGCAGCCTGCCTCTCTCCCTCTGAGGCCAAGAAGGTAATTATATAGTAATAATAATAATAATAACAATAATAATAATAATAATAATAATAATAATAATAATAATTTTTATTTATATACCGCCCTATGGCGAACCAATCCGGGTGGTGAACATAATAAAATACAATATACAATGAATGCGATCTAAAACACACCATTCCCCCCTCCCCCCTATATAGTAGGTATATATATTGATGTATACATATTTAATACAGCTTTTAGTAATTCAAAGTTCATTTGCAATGCTTTAAATATTAATATTGTATTTTGGTATATACATGAGAACAGAACTATAGGGGTCTTAGCCCTGTCCGTGCCCCTGTTTAGACAACTGCAACATACTAAGGAGGGTTATTGAAAGACACCAGGAACAATGTGAAAACATGTAATTAAAATGTGTTGGGGCTTTTTAATAATATAAATTACGATATGTAAGGCTTCTGAGCATTAGTGAATGATCTCATTAGGCTTTGCTTTCTCACTGGTCTCAGCCAGGAGTCTAAAATGGAAAATCCCAAGTTGTAATCATTTGCTTAGGCCAGGGGTAGGCAACCTAAGGCCCGGGGGCTGGATGCGGCCCAGCAAGGCCTTTGGACCGGCCCCAAACCGGTCCTGCTGCCACCGCCCCCCCCCACCGCTGCCGCCCCCCCCATGATGATCTTGATTATTGTTGTTATTACTTGTTCTTGGGGTTTTCTTGGCAAAATCTTCACAGGGGTTTTGCCATGGCTTTTCTGGGGCTGAGAGAGTGTGCATGCATTTTTTAAAAAAAAAATTTAATTCTTTTTTAATTTTAATATTTATTTATTTATTTATTTTTGGTGCTTCGGCCCGTCAATTGTCTGAGGGACAGCAACCCGGCCCCCGGCTCAGAAAGGTTGCCTACCCCTGGCTTAGGCACATCATGAAGAACAAACAAATAATGAAGAAATGGATTTCTAAGATATAGATTGGTATTTTGTAATCATTTGTATTCATGTGATTGTTTGGATCACCTCTGCTCTTTCACAGAACTGCACTGCAAGCTGGTAAATCTTTATTTCAAAGAGAAACTAAATCTGGGTCATTTCACACTACAGTCCACCCACTCATGCTTGCCATATGCAGACTTGAGGTCACACAGATGGCAAGCTCGGGGTAACAAAGTGGCATGCCTGCCTGTGGCACGTACACAGCACCACATACAAAAGTAAACCACCATTAAAATCAATGAGACTTAAGGTCCCGTAGTTTTTTCCATATGGAATCCTGGGTTTGTATTTTGATGAAGTCCCAGCGTTCACTGTCTAAGAATTCTAAATACTTTGCCCTGAACTTCAAATCCCAAGATTGCATAGGATGAAAGGAGGGCATTTAGGGTGGAATTATAGGACTATAATTGTTTAGGGTGTGAGATTCTTCTGTTAATAACTTGCTTTATTGATAATATTATTCACATTATTATAGGCTTCATATAGAATACAGTCCTGAGATGTATCACTTTCATACTACGCTAATCGTTGTTGTTGTTGTTGTGTATACTGTGGTCTAAATCTAGTTGTTGGTCCCAAATAGAGTTAACCCATTGCATCAATGATGTTTGTATAACTGCTGAGTTACAACTAGGTTGTCTTTAGCTGGGCTAATATTGGATTTAGGCTTGTGATTAGCAGCATGCAGACCTTCAGACTGTAGTCAGAAGATGCATGTGGGAAAGAGATGTGGTTAGAAGAAGACAGATGCTAGGTACTGGAACTGAGATGTAAGCCTTGGTTGGGATCTTTGGTTAGAAGAATCAGTGGCGCCTGATTCTTCTGTTCAATTTGGTAAGTGGACTGTTCCATATGGTGAATTCTCCATGCCATTGACACAAATGGGGAAAAAAGCTTGCCACATGGATTCTGTGAAGCATTTGTGGAGCATTTTATATAATGACACACATCTGTTCCAATATATAGAATGGATTCTGTCTGACACTCCAAAATACCAAAGCCCTCTTAGAATAATATTGAAAAAAAAGGTTAGTGCTACATTTTGCTAACAATGCCATCAAACTGACATGGAAAGGCCTTGCATATTGGATTATCATGAGCCCTTGGCACACTCATATGAAGACTTATTGTTCAGGAGTAACCTTTGAAGGATGATGGGACACACTGAATGGTAGAAGATGAGTCACTTTTGATAGTTTCTAATATGTCTGAAATTTAGTGGTGAATTGTTTCTGGAGTGAAATATGGCTGTCTCTATATGATTACATTTTCTATGATGAACTTCATACTTACTGTAACTTTGAAATTGGGTTCAAGGTGAAAAAATGCAAAATGAAGCATCAAATTCCAAAATCGGACTGCCATGAATAGGATAATATGTTATACATTTTAATTGAATTGTATTCAGTGAATTTTTTATTGTTACTTTTAATTTTGTAAACAGTTTATGTATATTTTATAGTAGAAAAACTGCATATAGGAGTTTAGATAAAAGAAATTTTTAAAAGACTTTCGCTGAACAAAACTATTTTCTTTTCTTGGAGTGCTTCTAGATGAATGGTACTACCTGTTTTAAAATGTGGAAGGAGGTAAGAAACACAGGGAAGTTACAAATGAAAGACAGTTTTGTCAGGAAACCACTTAATAGTCTGTGAAAGAGAAATGGCACAGTAAATGAAAAAAACTGTGCAATTGCATAATAAAATTCTCAACTGGAAAGACTCTTTCTTGTAAAGAGGAAATATGCCAAACATTAGAGACACTGTCACACTACACAATTACAGAGCTTTGATTGTCATAATTACATCAGGCCTAGCCTAAAGAAGAAGAGCCCTCCCTCCATGCCATTCAACATCATCTGGCCTTGGAGGGAGTGAAAAGGCAGGCCCAGCTCCATCAGGTCTAACCTGAAGAAGAAGAGCCCTCCCTTCTGAGAGCCCTCAGACAGCCCTGACCTTCTCCTCAGGACAAGAAGGATGGGATGGCATGGGGGAGGGAAGCCCAACTGGGTGTCACCCCTCTTCCATGGTGTCACTCGGTGTGGGCTGCATCCCTTGCACCTCCTAGTGATGCCACTGCTTTCTCTTAGAGAGGGGACTTAGACAGTTCACTACTGATGCTTCTTTATCCTTTGGTGGGTAAATTGTTTATTTGTTAAGTGGGGTGCCAGACCCATTTCTATTCTTTCCAATCTGCCATTGCTACATCTTCTGCTTAGTCTCTGCTAAGATTACAGGGAATATGTGCCATTGCTACCACTAGGACAGTGGTTCACATCCCACCTCAGGGTATGGGAGATGTTTGACTGGCCCTGTGACTTAGGGCCTTTGCAGATTGCTAGAAATAGTGTAAATTGAGTCCACTTTAACTGCCCTGGCTCAGTGCTAGGGAATAATGGGAATTGTATTTTTTCCTGAGACATTGAGCTTTCTCTATCAGAGAGCTCTGGTGCCACAATACACTACAGTTCCCATGATTCCCTAGCACTGAGGGCCTTTGCAGACTGCCTGAAATAATGCACATTGAGTCCACTTTAAGGGTTAGGGTTAGCGCTAGGAAATCATGGGAATTGTTTTTTCCCCCCTGAAACATTGAGCCTTCTCTGTCAGAGAGCTCTGGTGCCACAATAAAATACAGTTCCCATGATTCCCTAACCCTAACCCTAACCCTTAAAGTGGACTCAATTTGCACTATTTCTAGCAGTCTGCAAAGGCCATTTATATTGACCAATGGTGTAACTCATTATGAGATAAACTTCCTAAAACACATTGGAGACATATGTGCCAATCTGGTAAACTGTCTGAATAACAAGAAGGTACTACATTCTCTTTATTATATCATAAGTTGTTGCCCGTTTTGATTTTCATATCACATTCCTGCTCTACACTAGGCTAGGGAATAGTTTTCCAATGATGTAGCAAAACATGTCCTGCAACCAAAAACAAGGTGACCAACCACCCATGATTTCACTTACATAAACTAAATAGATAGGCAATTGAATCTTACCTTGGCATTGACAATTCTGGCACTTACTTCATAACTTCATTCACCTGCCAGAAGGAAAGTGGCACTAAAGATTGTGGTAGGCTGCATTGCACATACTTTTCTGCATCTTTCCAAGAATCTGTTGCTTCATGCAGCTGCCTCACTGCCTAATGATGGAGCCAGCCCCAGGTAAAGGATGTGCAAGCTGTTTACTGTGTTTGGACAAATTGCTTTTCTTTCTTTCCACCTTGATGTCTCCACTTTTTCCATCCGTCCCTCTCTCTCATAGTTAATTTGCCATTTTCTTTTCCTGCCCACCAT